CTCTAAACACACACACAAACACACACATTACTTGATTTGATTAATTTGCTATTTAATTCATCCCAAGCACTCCGTTCTTTCTACACATTTTGAACATTGGAATCAATTTTAGCTACTGCCAAGCCCAAAACATTGCTCTTGATTGTAATAGCTGTAATGGATTATGGTTAATTTTTCTATTACGCACAAATATATCTTGATTGGAAATGGGTCTTAGTTTGTTGATTGTGAGGGTGCTGAAATTATGTGAGTTGGAACACAAATAAAGAGAGTTGCTGCAGCAGTTAGTCCTGTCAACAGACTTACCTCATGCATTCTCTTTTTCTGTGTTTCTGCTTAGATATTTCTTTTTCTGGTACTTCTTTTTTGTTTTTTTTTAATGTAATTTTTTTCTAATGGGATTTCAACTATGCAACATTTTTAAAGCAGATTTTTCCTGAACTTTGTGAATACCTGTTACAGTATGTAATTCTTACCAGAATGATCAAAAAGCCATAATCACCTCCGGAAGTTGTAAAGCCTGAACAATGCACCCACACTCAGTGGGATCCTTCTTTCCTTTGTGTAGTGTACCTTGTTTTAATTTGTCCAAGAAATTCCCAAGTACTGCAAGAACTATGGCTTGACAGATGTTTGTTCACAGTAGCTTGTCAAAGTTTCTGACTTTTCTGTGTATCGCCATTTTTCTCCCCATAAAGGATGTACATAAATCTAGAAGCTGACTGATGCACAGGACAGATGGCAACTGCTCTGCTGCATGTTTTTTAATCCTTTTTAAACTGAAAACTTTACTGTTGTTAGTAATTTCTGTGTCACACAAGTTGTATGCTGATGATTTTTTATTTATTTTTTTAAAGCCTGAATGATTTTTTATTTTATTTTTTTCCAAATTGACACTTCAGTAAATTCACAAAGCAGAAGTCATGCAGAACTAAATCTTAATATTGAAATTTTCATGGCATTGAATTCGTTCTGATGATAAAGTTGCAACAGAGCATCTTGGCAGTGGCACTGACTGTGGTTTGTGTGAATTTTTTTGGTGCCGGTTTTGTCGTGTGGTCTCTGTTAAATAATGTTTCACAAGAGCAACAACTCCCACTAGAATCCCCATTACTAGGGATTAATTGGTTTAAATGTCGCTTTGAGTGCTGGTTATTAATCATTCTCCGCGTTTGTTCTCCAAATGCTATCCATACAGCTTCATGTCAAGATTACTCTTAAGGAACAAAACAATCATAAAACAGTCATTAAGTGTGCTTAAGTGCATACACATTAAAGCATTATTTTTACTTCAATAAATAAAAACAGGCAGCTTGATTGAGCTGAGTTATACAGTGACAAGGAGGGTTGACTTAATTTAAACAGGAAGGCAGTCCTATTTAATACAAACATGATATTAGTATTTTTCAACAGTTTTATTTTAACATTATGTCTGCCTAATTAATATAGCATTTCCCCTACCATTATCCAAAAAGAGGATGGCCGGCCCTCCCAACGGAACCACTCGGTCTGCCTTTCAAAATAACTCCCACCCCACACTGACGAAAGTTCCATTACATCTAGACCTAGAGCGGAGATTGTAGAAACAAGACGAGTGGCTTCAACCTAGCATTATCATTGCAGCACTCTACTGCCACTACCACCCCGCAGACACATTGCACAATCAAATGCTAAAAACTCGAGAAGGAAAACGTACATTATACAGTATATTTACTCCCTGCTGACTTTGTGTCAGTTTGACTTGCTACTTAATTTAATGTCTTTAGACAGGAACTCTGGATGGGATGTTCAGATATTGGTATAACTGACAGCATAGGGAGGTTCATGTAACATCAACATTATTAATTGATACGGTCCACTTTAGGGGTGTCTGAAATCCTAATGTTAGTATATTTTATGATTAACTATACAATATTTTTAAAATGTATGTTTATGGACATTGTGGTACACAGAAATTTAACTCTCTGCCTGTCCTATTAATGATGACAGGGAGTGACAGAGACAGCGTTATTTGTTACCATGATTAGCCTTTTGAGCGACTTGCAACATTTATAATACAGTATTTCTTTTATGTTGGTTCTTTATCATTTTTTACACATCTAAATGTCAATAGTTTGTCATTTTAGATTATTATAAAGCAAGTCCCAAATTACAACTTTATAGGAGATAAAGGACTAAAAGATAATGTATGTGGGAATTTCAGGCAGTGGCTGCATTGGCAACTTTTAAGCTTCATTTGTGAGCCTCTCGGGAGAGATAGAAGTGGGATCCGAGTGAAGGTGTTGGTGGCAAGTGTTAAAGAGTCTCAGAAAATGAGTAAACGAAAGAGCTAAAAGTATTATGGGATTCTGAGGGATTTAGGAACAAGATGTAAGAATTTCATGGTGGGGATAAATATAAGTAGACACGCTTCCCATTTTCTCTGCCCTTTAGAAAAGAGCACACTAAGAGTGGAATAGAGGATGGATATGACAAGAAAAGGGAGGAACATGGCCTTTTAAGACGAGAGAGAGTCCTTTTCAAAACATCTGTAGAAGGATTCAACTTGGAATCCCTTAACAAGACCTTAGAGACATGAGACATGGGAGAGAGTCAGCATAGTGACATGGAGTGCCAATAGGGAGAAGGAATGAATGGTTCAAATGGAGATAGGAAGCAGAGTGCAGAGGAGGATTAGAGCTAAGCGCCTATGCTGTCTTGCCTTGGTTCAGTCTGCTGCCACATTGCCCATTATTTCAATATCTTTGTGGTCATTCTTGTAAGACTGCCTTTGTKTTTGGGTTTAGTTTTATTTTGGGCCAAATTAATCCTCCTGTTCTCTCTTAATGATCTGCTAAGCTCAATAATCAATCGGGRAACAAAACTCTGGTTTACTGACAGGTTTATAGCATTTACTTGTCACTCATCCTCTTCTTCCTTTTTGCTCTTTGTACACCATTATGGYAGCAATTTCACTTTCACATCTTATCTTAATCTATTCTTCTTAGACTGGTTAATCTCAAATGATACATATTCCTCCTAGGCAGTAATTCCACCATGTGTCCGTACCTCCGCGGAGCTAAGGGGGGAGGTGCGTCCATCTTTATAGTTCTGCAGATAGACAGATTTTGTTGTGTTGTTAGAATTTCTGGCTAATCCTCCAGCTGTGGTTATATCTTATCTATAYGTCTATGAAGTTGCGCTTCGCACACCAGGCTTATCCACATGTTGGTTTTCTAAATAAAGCCCTCACTAAACAGATAAGCCTGTTTGCATGTATAGGTTCACATGCAACATCCAGCTGTTTGTACCCACTTTTGCTACAATCACACTTTATTGTTTTGCCTTGTGGATGTTTTTATCGCGTGTATGCAGTGATTTAGTTTGAATKAATTTTTTTTAGTCAACTGTTTTATTTGTAAATCTCATTTTCTGTGTCAAATRTTTTAGAAGCTCACTCGCACTGTCGATGCTGAATCACAAAAGCTGGAGAGAAAAAAGTAAGCATAAACAAGAAAGTGTTTTTTTGTTTGTTACTATTGCTTAGTCATTGATTTGTGTGTGTGTGTGTGTGTGTGTGTGTGTGTGTGTGTGTGTGTGTGTGTGTGTGTG